AAGACAGAGACTCCATAAAGGTAAGACTCCATTTACAGATGGAAGGAATAGCATAAAAGAATTGTAGTGTATTTTATTAGGGATAAACTGAAGCATAGGAAAAGCTATGACTGCTGCTAGATGATGAGATCCATGTTGATTCACGGAATCTTGGTAGCTCCTTTCAAAATTGCTACATAAATGAAAACCAAGCTTTGCCCCTCCCCCACCACCAAAAAACAAAATTGAAAGAAAGCGTAAAGTGGGGGAGGCCCTCACAGGTCACGCTCATCCTTCTTGCACCCTTTGCACCCTGCCATGCCATACTGCAGTCATGCCCTGCTGCCTTTGGCCAGTGGCCATTACTATCTTATATGAAAGTGACCCTGGCCCTATCAGTGTGGAGGAGCTCTGTATGCACAGATCAGTGGGTGGAGAGGGCTTCCTCACATCTGCTCTGTATTTCCTCTGTGGGTGACGGGGTATGTGGTAATGTGGCACATCAGCATGGGAAGACAGTCATGTGAAACTCTGTCAAAACAATTTGAACTATAAGAATACCAACAGCTGCTGGATGGTATTTTGGTCAATGGGTAATATTTCTATATACTTGCTTGTTTGGTGATCCCTGAGAATGACGCTTTCCTCTTATCAGAAATGTATCATGCCATAAAAGACCCGCAGTGATGAACTGGTGAATGCAGACCTTTTTGAAAGATGGTGGGCCTGGAGAAACTGTGCTCTTGGGCCTTTCCCATGCTTCCTCAGTGCTCAGGCTCAACTGTGCCTATCTCACATATTTCTTGAATGGGCCTGGACCATTGCTGTATAGTTTTGCTCACATCACTCACCATCAGGGCTGCTCAGCACTGGAGCCACAGATGATCCCTGCCATGTCTCCAACCCCCACAGATGAACATTAAAGAACCCTTAAGGAAAACTGCACAAAATCATATAGTTTCTTCACAACAACATCCGAAAAACAGATGGCTATAGTAGAATTTGTGCAAATTGCATGGAGGCTATGTACTCTTTGGGTGCTGATTCACACAAAGCACATAATTTACAGAAATTGTCAATTGCACAAATAGCACAAATTGTGCAAATTTCATTAACTTTTTAAAAAATATACAAACCACAGCAGAAATCGGCTGAAAAAAATCCAGCTCTGCCTGCTTCCAGCCATCAAATCAGAAGAGGTCTGGAAGTCTTTTGAACTGAAACATGCTAAACTTTCCAGTGTCAGCACATCTTTACCAAATCCAACAGGATTCAGAGAGGTTTTCTTAACTCAGGGAATCTGAGTCTTTCCCTTAGACAGCATCTCACAGGATGCTTACTAGGACCAAACTAGATGAAAACATTGTGGAAAATTACTCGTGCAAAGTAGTAAGAAGAACTAGATACGAAGATGAGTTCAGTAACACTTGAGCACTATTCTGAATTAAAATTCCTTGTGGTATGGCAATTTAGCTTTGTTAAACTAGGTCTAAGGCAGTCCAGGTTTAAACCTGCATCTCACACAGCCGTCAAGTCTTTCCTGTCAGCCTATTTCACAGTGTAGTTCTTAAGACAAAAAGGCAGTAATGGGAGAGATCTTATGCTGCCATGAGCATCTTGGATGAAAAATTGTATCTAAATGGAATAGTTAACTAAAGAAATAACATTGACTTTTCTGGTTGCACATGTTTGTAGTTTGTATGATTTCTAGATCAGATGCCATTTACAAGTATAAACAACTCAATCAAGAAGCTTTTCACCTAAAGTGGTAACAGGAAGTATTAGGGTGACTTTATGTATACAGTTGGTTACACTTTCCAGCTGTCACTTTTGCTTCTTTCTTGTCTCTCTCATGAAATGTGTGGGTTCTGCAGCTTGAACCCTGTCTAGCCTTCTCCTGGTGTTGTTTACATTATTGCTGTGTTGCAATAGAATGAGATGGGCCATGTTCTTGTCAGTTTCACAGATACTCTTTGGGCTTTTAACAGCTGCAAAAAGCAGTCAGTTTTCCCTGTGCAGTAATTTGCAGTGTGCACTGCTGTGGCAACAGAACTGCCTTTCTACAGAATGAAAAATTTTTGTTCCATCACCAAAACAGTATGGTCTCAAAACTTAACTACCAAGAAAGAAGAAAATACTGTTTGTGTATGTGTGTACATGTACAAAGGTACCAAAGGTGACAATCAGGGCAACTTCAACTAAAATAAATGCATAAATTTAAAAATCTGAGCTTCTGAAAGTTAATGCTAACCCCATGAATTATTTTTGTACTCATCTTCGCTATCAAAGCAGTCGCTTGCTCATGTCTTGATTAAAAAGAAAAAATCTTACTAACCATCTCCATCCATATAACCCTTTTCAGGTGAGATCTTGGTTTGAATACCTTTAGTGTCTGAAGTTAAGTTTTGGGTTTCAATGAAGAAGGCTTCTCTGTAGCTATGGAACTTACACCTGCCAGACTTATTCTGTTTTTCCTTTTAGAAGAATGTAACATGACATTTTAATATATGTATGTTGGAAGGTCATTTTTCTAATAAGTGTCTCTTTGCTGCTTTAACTTTGCCATATTTTAAAATGGTTGTATTTCAGATGTATTTCTAATGTACATTATATGATTGGTATGTATCATGGTATGCTTGTAAATTACCTTTTGTTCTGCTTGGACTAAAAGGTGGCATATCAATTTAATAATAAAAAATACATAATGAACACTGCATGCACTCCTCTGATATTCCATTAATTTTTAGCCACCTTTAACTAGCGTTGCGGTCTTAGTATTAATGTTACTAACTTTTTTCATGGATAAACGTATATAGAATAAACAGGGTAAGCTAGGGCTCTTCACTAAGCTGCATCCTTCAGTCATATTTATTGTCCCTGCAAGGGCTTAACAGGGCCTCTTCTTTCATTTTGTCTTGCTTGCCTCGAATTGCAAAACACAGGGATATTCATGGCTGAGTGCCTGCTTGTGACTTAGTGGGTCAAAATAATGTTTCATATACATGGTTTGTGGAATAAAGAACCATGCACTTTTGTAGAAGTACATTATTAAAATACCAAAATTCTTAGTGAAATTTAAAAAGACTATAATTGCTTTCACTTTTTTCCCAGTGTGTGAACACTGACCTCATCATAAATGTGAATGGCATCTACTCACAACTATCCCCTCTTCTGGTTCTTCCCCCAACCTAATGATTCCTGCCAGCCTTATCAGCTTGCTTCTGTGGGTGGGTCGGGGGGGGGGACCTTTTAAAATGGTTTGCCTCCAGAGGCTAATGGCTCCTGATGGTTTCCAGAGGGCTCTGGAGGAGTTTCCAGCTGGCATGACTGGCGCTCCTGCTGAAGGCCAGGTCACTCTGTGAAATGCAGAAATGTCTCAGGCTGCTGGCACAAACATACCCAAGAACCCTCTTGCCTTGAACAGAGCCTGGCCAGCTCCTGAGGGCAGTTGAGGGCAATGAAGGAAGAGGGAAGATGGCTAAAGTGCAGGTAGAGCAAAACTTGTGCAGAGCCCAATAGAACATGGCTTAGAGTTCATTATTAAGCCTACTCTATGACTGTGAGGGTGGCAAAGAGGAAATTCTTTTTCACCAGCACTGTATCTTCTCAGTGTCATCCTGAGCAGATTTTCTGAGTGGTTCAGGGCCAGAGAAAGAAATTATGGACTCCTCAGTAGCTCTTTGTGATGAATTTGCACAGCACTTTGAAGATAAAGTCACTTGGATTCATTGAGCATTGGACCCTGCAATTAATGCAGTTCAACCAACAGTAGCAGCCAGAGCATCAGTCCAGTTCTATTGGATGGCATTCAGTTATTGAGGCCCAAGGAAGTGGACCAAGGTGCTTGGCCAAATCTTGTCCACCACCTTGTATGCATAACCCTTGCTCTTCATGGCTCATTTCAAGAACTAAGAAAGGGATTTCTACTTGTATCCAGGAGCCTGTAATGCCTCCTTGAGAGAGGGCGTGGTGCCAGATTTTTAAAAGAGGCTGTAATTAACACCTGAAAAAGCCTAGCCTGGACCCAGAGGATGTTAACAACTATAGGCCAGTGGCCAACATCCCCTTCCTGGGCAAAGTGCTTGAGCTGGTGGTGACTGAAGAGCTCCAGGCACTTTTGAATGAAACAAATTATCTAGATCCATTTCAGTCAGGCTTCAGACCTGAGTTTGGAAGAGAAACTGCCTAGGTCACCCTGTAGGATGACCTTTGCCGGGAGAAAGATGGGGTTGCGACCCGTTGATCTTCCTGGACATCTCACTGATTTTTGATACCATTAACCATGGTATCCTTCTGGATAGGCTGGCTGGGCTAGGAGTAGGATGTACTGCATTGTGGTGGTTCTCCTTCTTAATCAGCCAATTCCAGAATGGGGTTCAGGGGGATTATTGTTTTGAACTATGGGGGTTATATCAGGGGGTACCACAGGTTTCCATTTTATCCATCATGCTATTTAATATCTACCTAAAACTGCTGGGGGAGGTTATCTGGAGGTATGGACTGAGGTACCATCAATATTAAGATGACACTCAGCTCTATCTCTTTTTTTAATGAAACCCAGGTGAGGCAGTGGTCACTCTGAAGCAGCATGGTAATGGATTGGATGAGGGCCAGCAAGCTGAAACTCAATCCAGACAAGATGGAGGTGCTGTTAGTGGTGGTTCATCTCTCCACTTGGGTGATATTCAACCTGTTCTGGGTGGGGTTGCACTCCCCCCCCACAAAGGAAAAGATTCATAGTTTGAATATGCCCTTGGATCCAGAGCTGTCACTTCAGTCACAAGTGGCCTCAGTGCCATGGAGCACCTTTTATCAATTTAAGCTGATATAGCAACTACAACCCTATCCAGACAGAGAGAGCCTAGCTACAGTCGTCCATGTTCTGATAATCTCTCCTTTAGATTACTGCAATGTGCTGTATGTGGGGCTGCCTTTGAAAATGGTCCAGAGTCTTCCACTGATCCAAAACAGGGCAGAAATACTGTTAATGGGGACTAGCTTATGGTAATGTATTACGCCAATCTTCTTCCAGTTGTATTGG